TTTTATATTCAAATGAATAAATTAGAAACAAAACATATGCGGCAGTGTGTGTTAATCACCCTATCATCAGAGATACTATTATATCAGGATTTCATTTTTTTTATTTATAGAAAGACTCATTTCTTCAAAGTAAAAAAATGACTTTTACTCATTTCTGAGGCAGATGAATATGCCCATAAGACCTGGGTGTGACGATAAACTACATCTGGCAGCAAGGCCGCTGATCAGGGGGTTTTGAGGAGCGGGAAACCACCTCTTAATTGGTGTTGTTCCCAGGCCCACCCTGAACCATGGTGGTAACCTGTTAGGAACACTGCTATGGGCAAATAGATAACCCTCCCCACAAAAAAACTCAAAAAAAATCTGGTGTCAAAACTCTATGAAAGGATAAAAAAATATTTTTACAGTAAAAGAATTACAAGCAAAATATTAAAAAAAAATAAATACCAGCAATGTATTTTGGAAAATGGCTGCGATAACTTTAATAAGAAATTACTTTTTTTTTTTTTTTTAGTAGTACGGCCCACCTTATAATGTACTGTACCTCATGAATCCACCTGTTAAAAAAAAGGTTGCACATGCCTGAGATAGACAGACAGGCAGACAGACAGAAAGAGTGTGAAAATAAACATATGCAAATAAAGACTTGTATGGTGGTGAGTACAAAAGACCATTTAAGAGAGCAAAAAAAAAAAGAAAGAAAAAAGAGGACATTTTTGTCTGGATTTTTGGGATGAAGAGTTATTATTATTTACACTATTTATATTTGTGAGTTCAATCCCTGTAATAGGCAGTTGGTACTTACACTCAATGGAAATGAGGAAAAATAATGTTTATTAAAATGTGTTTTCCTTTCATTCTCACTTGTTCACTCACACACTCTCATGCATAACCACATACATAAACAATGATTAAGTCCATTGTTTCTTGAATTTTATAAGATTTTATTGAAGTTAACATTGACAGTATTTTAGACCATTGGTGATTTTTACTAAGGAAGATCATAAGTGTTAGTGTCCCAACTATGCGCAAATAGTTAACCCCCAAACTGGTGTCAAAACACTATGAAAGTATGAAAATACATTTTTATAGTAAAAGAATTACAAGCAATGCATTTAAAAAAATAAAAAATATTATCAGCAATGCATTTTTGAAAAAATAAATAAAAAAATTACCAGCAGTACATTTTGGAAAATGGTTGCAATATGAAATGAGCAATATGGAAATGAGAAATTACTTTGATTTTTTTTATTAGTGTGGCTTGCCTTATGATGTACTGTATCTCATGCAGCCCACTGTTCAAAACAGGTTGCTCATGCCTGAGATAGACACGCAGAAAGAGTGTAGAGAGAAACATATGCAAATAAGGACTTGTATGGTGGTGAGTACAAAAGACCATTTAACCAAAGAGTGCAAAAAGAAAAAAAAGAAAAAAGAAGACATTTTTGTTTGAATTTCTGGGATGAGGAGTTAACACTATTTACATTTATGAATCCAATCTCTGTAGCAGGCACTGTGTATTTGCACTCAGTGGAAATGGGTGAACAATAACTGAACAGTACTAAATAAAATAAAAACAAGGCAATATCGCTAGACATGAGCAGTGGAAGTAGAACAATCTACCCCTGTACATTAAATAAAGTGTTCAATTCAGAATACCCTGTAAGCTACCCAGATTGAAAAACACCTGAAGAAGGCTGGAAGCCACAATGGCTGAAATATTGTGATAACAACAATAAAAATGAGGACAATAGTCCAAATAAAAAATAGTGTTAATAAGAAAGAAATTGTTTAACACTATTGTAGTAACTTCAATGATTTAGATATAGTTAGTATATTATATGACAGATACAGTGGAGAACCCTTCCACAATGAAAAACAGAAGTCCAGAATACACAAAAACAGGTAAGAACCTGAAATGCTAAAGTCTGAGTTTAGATCAGATTGGCCAAGATGAGCGTGGTTGGGAAAATGGCTGCCGTAATTTAATGAAAAATTACTTTCTTTTTCAGTAGTTCGGCACACATTATGACGAACTGTACCACATGGAGTCAACTTCTCAAAAAAGTTTGCTCTTGCCCGAGATAGACAGAAAAAGTGTGAAGAAGAACATTTATTGGTGAGTACAAAAGACCATTTAACTAAAGACTGCAAAAAAAAAAATAAATAAATAAAAAATAAGAAGACATTTTTGTCTGGATTTCTGGGATAAGAAATTATCATTATTTACACTATTTATATTTGTGAGTTCAATCCCTCATGCATAACCACATACATAAACAATGATTAAGTCCAATGTTTCTTGAACTTTGTTTGAAGTTAATGTTTTCAGAATTTTAAACCATTGGCGATTTTCACTAAGGAAGATCATACGTGTAAATATCATTTGCTTCAGAAACGGGAAACGTCAATGATAATTATTTTTCTCTAAAGAATATACTTCGACTTCTCTTAGAAATAATTTTTGTATAGTCAAATGAATAAATTAGAAAAAACCACGCGTATGAGCAGCAACTTGTGGTAATAACTGTCATTATTGATTAAATTATACCAAGGTTTTAGTTTTTTTAAATTATAAAACGAATTTTTACTCGAAAAAAAAAGAAAGATTTTCCCCCATTTTTTAGGCAGAAGCTTATGCGCATGCTCTGTTGATGAGAACATGGCTCCGGTATCTATAATAAAAAATTTACCTTGGTTTCTTTTTAGTGCAGGCGGCCCTATGGTGCACTGTACCTCATACGGCCCACTATTCGAAAAAGGTTACTCATGCCTAATGTAAATGAAGATTGATATTTGTACAATCAACACAACACAGTAATAACGTTCGTCTGCAATAACGTTCTTGCAAAATCATATTTTAACTTTAACCCCAAGGATCATACCCACCAGGTAGAATTTCTTTTTCGAAAGGTGCTGAGGTCATTACTCGGATCCTGAGGCCAGTGGCGATTCTACGGGGTGGGGCGCCATTTTCTTTCTCGAGGAAAAAATCAGAACAGATAAATTACAGTGTTCTGCTAGTATTGACGTTAGTATTAACCCTTTGATTTTGTTTTGAAGTTAACCCCTCTCTTGTGGTCCAACAGCTTGAGAGGGGGGAAAGAGGGCAAGAATAGATTAGAACTTTACTATTATGAATGAAAAGTTAGTCCATTTAATTTAGTGAAGTAACATACTTATACTAAAACTCATTCCTGCTGAGTTGTGTATACAATAGTATATCAGTATGAAAATAAAGATGCTACTTGAATTTGCCCAACCCCTACTCCTCCGCAGAAAAATCTCAGCCCCCAAATGCCTCCCATCCCACATTTCAGAGTTCCAGGATCACCACTGAGTGATAGTGATGTCAAAAGAAAAACCATCCTTTTAGGAACATCTAATAAATTAAGAATGTTTAAGATTTTTGTTATGAACACTTGAGAAAAAAACATATATATAAATCCAGTTTCATATGCTTGGGTTTTTTTCAAAATTCTAAAAAATAGCTTATTTAAAACAATAAAAACTGCTAAAGAAATATACATCGATAGCAGTGGCGATTCTACGCCGTGTGTGAGTGTGTGTGTGTATGGGGTCCTCAGAAAGGGGCCACACCCCCCTTCCGAATTTTGCCCCAAGTTTTGTAGAGGAAAAAAAAATCAGAACAGATAAATTACAGTGATCTGCTAGTTTTGACGTTAGTATTAACCCTTTGATTTTGTTTTGAAGTTAACCCCTCTCTTGTGGTCCAACAGCTTGAGAGGGGGGAAGGAGGGCAAGAAGAGATTAGAACTTTACTATTATGAATGAAAACTCAGTCCGGTTGCATGGAGTATTGCTGTCATATATGGTCTGGGGCACCTTCTGTTTACGTCGGAGTTCTTGACAAGATCCAGAGGCGGATATGTAATATAATTGGCCCTGATCTGATGTCTCGTCTACAGTCACTCTCTCACAGACGCGCCGTCGCCTCTCTCTGTCTTTTCTACAAATACTTTCAGGGTAATTGCTCCGATGAGCTGCTTTCACTGGTTCCCAGACTCCATGAATTCAAGCGCCCTACGAGGCTGGCATACCGCTCCCACCCTTACACTGTAGAAACTTTTAAATGTGGCTGTCTCTTCTACTCCAATAGTTTCATACCTCGCACCTCTCGCCTGTGGAACACCCTTCCCAATTACTGTTTCCCTGAGAGCTGTAATTTCCAACTATTCAAATGTAATGTCAATCGACACCTCCAGTTACATTGATCTACCCACTATCCTTCTCCTCATCCTTTCTTCTATCACTCCTATCTGCTCTCGCTCCAAATCTTCTGCAACCCCCTGCATCCTAGTGGCTTCACGCCTTGCTCGGGGCGTAATACTTAAAAAAAAAAAAAAAAGTTTAATTTAGTGAAGTAACATATTTATACTAAAACTCATTGCTAAGTTGTGTATACGATAGTTGCGTAGTATGAAAATAAAGACGTGGCTTGAATTTGCCTCTCCCCACTCCTCTGCAGAAAAATCTCGCACCCCCCATCAAGTGCCCCACCTCCAGACACACACTTTCAGAGTTCCAGAATCGCCACTGCTTAAGGCGCTTCAAGAAAGGAGAAGTACCCATGGTGCTTGAGAACTTTTTGTACGGCTGCTAAATCATACCTTAAACTCGACCTTTTGTCATATTCTGTGCGTAGGGACAAATCTTACTATTCAAAACTCCCTTTAGTGGAAGGAAAAAAAAGAAAAGAAAAAAGAATATACTTTATTAACAGACATATTTGTCGGAGTTACTTTTATCTTTTATTTCACTGTGTGGGATGAACAAGTTTTTTTTTTCTTTTTATTAAAACAAATAAACAAACAAATAACAGAAACAAATAGAAAAAAAAGAAAGAAAACAGGATTTGTAAGACTGTCAAATCTAATATTGAAGACCAGTATTACCCCCACCTCGCCCCGACAAAATAACCATCTGGTTTTCCTCTTTAATGGTGATGTCACTGGTATATGAGCAGACAAGGTAATCACCGAGTTCGCAAGCAAATAAAAACGACGAGTGACGGTAACAGAGAGAGTAGGGCAGGTCGTGTTAGTGGTCGGTAAGTAATGTAGATATTCGGACAGGAAGTAGCGTGCATATGTCACTTGTAGTTAGAACAGCCCACTCTATTCTTCTCTTTATTCAAACACATATAATAACCCAAGTAAAGGCTTTGACCTGTCGTTTAGGCTGGACGGGACAGTCGGCGAGGGAGAAAGAAAAGCGTCAAAGTAAAATAAGAATGTCCTTCGACTAGATTTCCTCTAGTTTTTAAATAAGTGGAAAGCGACGACCAACCAAGAAAGTAATAAGATAGTATAATGTCAGGGCGATTTTTCGTCGTCGATAGAGAAAGGCTTAGGGTTAATTACAGGATAAAAAAAAACGCCTTCTTTTGTAGTGTTTCCATTATTTTTAAAATGAATGTTATTTTATCTTCTTTTTTTTTTTTACTGAAGAGTTATTCATTTTAATGTCTTGATTGTCGTCTGCTTATAACAAATTTGCAAAAAAAAAAAAAAAATAAGGAAAAGAAAAATGTAAGAAAAGGGTTGACAAGTACGAATGGGAGAAATATCTAGGTACAGAAATCTTTTATCTTTCCAATATGCCATCAACCCCAATACTCCAATATCTTATCTTTTGTGTCTATCTTTTTATTTTCCTCAATCTAATATTTATTCAGATATTATTCTGTACCGGTGAGGGTGTGCGGATAGTGTAAACTGTATCGGTACGTAAGTGGAATCAGCGAACAGAGTTCACATTCCGGGTTCGGCTGTTGCATTCTTTTTCGCACTATTGCCCTTGGGAAAGGTATCGAACCGTTTCTTTTCTACTCCTGGTTGAATTTTTTCCACATCCAAGTCATCATCATCATCATCATCATCATCCTCTTGATTTTTGTAATCATGGGGGGAATCTATATTGAATCTCCTCTACAACGGTCCATCAATAGCAGCCATCAGCAATTCTAGTATAGTCATACTTGTCTATTGTTTGACATTGTCCAACCATTTTTTTTTTGCGTTGGCATCCTTTCCCACGTCCACATTTAACGGTGTCTTGCTTGATGGTCTTGCACAGGTTTTCATGCCTTTTAATGTGTCCAAACAACGCCATTTTTATCCGTTTGATAGTACCGAGAAGAGGTTCATGGTGGCCCACAAAACTTTCAACCCTATTCCGCACAAACTCATTGGTTTTATGTTCCCAGTAGTAAATTCCAATGACTTTCCTCATGCATTTGTTCTCAAACGTTTGGATCCTTCTCTTAGTTTCTGCCAACAGTGTCCACGTTTCACATCCATATACGAGAATGGAGACTACCAACGATTTGTACAGTCTGTACTTCGTTTGAAAGCTGATTTTGCTCCTCCATATTCTTGCCAAATTGACCATCGCTGCTATCCGCCAAACAATAAAATAAATAGTGTTTCAATTTATACGAATAAAATTTCTTATTTATAATTGTCAGGTATATAAAAAAAATGTGCTAACATCATTTATATCTGCATACCTTTTTGAATATCTTCATTTTTTTCTTTTTTATAAAACTTTTTTAATTTAATTTAAAAAAAGTTGTGATTTATTTGGAAACACATGCATAGGCATTTGAGGTTATTTTTTTTCTTAAACGAATAATAAACGGATGCATAATTTTATTAATTTAAATCCTTCTTATATATCATTTTATAAAGTTCGTGTCAATTGGCAATTAACCGTTGTTTTCCCAACCACTACACTAAATAATAATAATAATAATAATAAATTATTATATTATTATTATTTCCATTTCCCTTGAATTCAGAAGCCATATTGAATCTCCTCCACAACAGTCTATCAACGACAGCCATCAGCAATTCTGGTACAGCCATATCTGTTCATTGTTTGACATTGTCCAACCAGGGTTTACGTTGGCATCCTCTTCTATGTCCATCTTTAACGATGCCTTGCAATGTATCCAAACCACGCCATTTTTCTCCATTTGATAGTAGTGAGAAGACGTTACTGTATAAATGCTAGTATTTAATCCATAGCTAATGGGGAGGCGATAGATTCATGCCTTTTCCAAGAATATTTGCGCGTAGGTGAACATAAAGGACCCGCTTGGAATTCGAACTCGGTACTCTATTTCTATTTCCGAGTCGCTATTATGAATAATAATAATAATAATAAAAAAAAACAAAAAAACTAAAAAAACAAAAAAATCAGCGGGCTGACTTCGGTATTGGTTGACCTATTAAGCAGTAAAATATTAAATCCACTGACCTAACGAAATACAAAATAATATTTCGAAATAATTAAAAATAATATCTTTGCTCTAGAATGTGATTGCGTGTGTATTTTTTTGTTTTTTTTTTGTTTTTTTGTTTCATTGTTCTCGATTCAATTCAATCCCGTTCAAATAATACATGCATGAGTGTCTAATAAATATTTTCTCATACATTTTTCCCCTCTACTTTTTTTCTCAACAAGACCGTAAGTGACACTCGGTTGGTGAAAAGCTTACGAATTCGCTCTCCGGAAAAAAGTCCGGGCGCACAGTTGACGAAGCGTCGCTTAAAGTCACCAGTTTCAGCCGACAAAAGACATAAAAAAATAAAAAAAAAATTGTTTTTTCTCACGCAAGCGACAGTCGTCAGTGAATGACGATTGCTCATTGCCTACACCTGCAGACTTGGGGATTTAAGAATTTCGCTCTTTTTAGCAGGGTGGTGGGGGTCTTCTTTTCTCAAATATTATTTTTTCTCCCTTTTTTTTTATTAATAACCTATTATACTTTCTTCTTAGTTCTCCCGTCATATTTTTTTCTCAGTTTTCCTCTCCACCCATATGACACCCTGCGATGGGGAGAGAAAGGGCGAGAGCGGGGGTGGATGTGAAATGGCAAGAATTTGTGTAGTTTGAGCAGCAAGAAGTATTATATTTATTAAGTACTAGCAGTAGAGCCCGGCGTTGCCCGGGGATGTAACAGTAAGAGATAGATCAAGTATCGACTATTATAAAAACTGAAAAATAAAATTGACAAAGATTATTGTTTAAGGTTGACGGACACGCATGTCTTAATTAGTTTTTTTTTGTTTTTTTTTTACGAATTGGTCAAACCCAAACTCAAACAAAAACATTGTTGTCAATTGTTATGAGTCTACCGATTGAATAGAATTTTATTATAAACAATTGTCTTGTAAATGGAATTTTTAAAGCATTCTGAATGTAAAAATAAAGAAAAAAGTGTGCAAGACAATAAGAAACACTACCTGCCAAAAAAAGTGGAGTTTTGTTGAAATCGGTTGAAAAATGTAGGAAATCCGATCCCATATATAAACGAACACACACACACACACACAAACAACCTGGGTTTTATAATAAGTATAACTCGATATGAGTTGTTCCCCTTTCATTCTCGACAGCGATGCTTCTAATCATGTTTTCAAATTGATTTCGTGCAAAAACAATTGTGTTTTTCCAATTCTTGGCGCTGTCAGAACCACCGCAAGGTAATTTTACGTAGTCCTGTGAAGTTTTGTTGAAATCGGTTAAAAAATGTAGGAAATCTGATCCAATATATAAACGAAGAGACACACACACACACACAACCTGGGTCTTATAATAAGTATGATGTCTGGCACAAGGCGACATCAGTTAGGCGCCCAGAGCGAAATAAACAGTAGCAAAAAGAACTATAATTATTTATTAGGCATAACTATGTATGGAACAAGGTCAGACTAGTTGGGGACCCTGCGCGAAAGCACAGCAGTAAAAAGAAATATAGTTATTTATTAGGCTTAAGTCGGTAAGGCACAAAGCCACTCTAGTTGGAGGCCCTGTGCGTAATCAGCAGCAACAAAGAGAATTAAATTTATTAGGCTTAAGTATATCTGGCACAAGGCCAAATAAGTTGGGCACCTAGAGCTAAATCAGGTGCAGTAAAAAGAATTATGATTATTTCGTAGGCTTAAGTCGGGCACAAGTCTACATCACTTAGGCTCCTTAGCGAAATTAGCAGTAACAAAAAGAATTATAATTATTTGTTAGGCTTAAGTATGCCTGACACAAGGCAACCCCAATTGGACGCTCAGAGATGAATCAGTAGCATAAAAGAATTACAATTATTTATTAGGTTTAACTAAGTCTGGCACAAGGTAACACCAGTTGTGCATCAAGAGAGTATTAGACTCACAATCGGGTGAATCATATCTTACTCCGGTAATAGGCGACAGGAGTTGAGCACCGTCTTTTTCTATGTGCTGTGTCCCTTCAGGACGTTGGCGATTATGGCTCTCCACAATTTCCGTTCCTTTGTAGCTCTTGATAAACTTTTTTTTGTTATCTCTTCTATTCATAATTCAAAAATACGCTCTTAAGTAGGCTCCGGAGGGGGTCGTCAGTGATGTAATTTAACTTGGTTCATCAGGGAGTTTCGGGTCTTTCACCATCATACACCCCACCACCAAGTCGACCCAATCAGGGGAGATCAATCCCTTATTCCCCCTCGCAATCAAACGGTAACAGCTACTCTGGCGTTTTTTAATTAATTCGAGGAAAAAAGACCCCGTTTCCCGCACACCCGATTGGATGTTTGTAACAACCAATCCACTGCGCGGACTATCTTTTAAATGGGAACTGGCTTTTTTTCTTTCTTTTTCGGTGGATAGCAGTTTCAATAGATAACCGAGGAGGTAATATTGCGATCATGGCTCTCCTCGACTTTCTTAATAAACTTTGTCTTTTTTGTTATCTCTTCTAAACCTTGTTCCGCCATCCGTTTACTCAAGCTCATTAGGTAGGTTATACGTTGTCTTCCTCTGGGCCTCTTGCCTTCAATCTGTCCTGTGAGTAGTAAATTTTCCAAGCCCTCTTTCCACATGAAATGCCCTAGAAATTTTAACTATCTCTTTCTGATGTTAAGTCTAAGTGTCCTTTTTGTTCCCATTTTCTCTAAAATTTCGTCGTAGCGCACATGTTCGTCCTATGGTATTCTCAGCACCCTTCTGTAGAACCACATTTCCGTTGCTTCAAGGCTCTTCTTCATCTCTGAGGGGATTATCTAGCATATGGAAGGACTCATATTACGAAACAGTTCAGTACGCTTTT